CGTGGGCAACATTCTTGGCTTCCTCGACGATACCTCGCTCGTATACCAGCCAACGGAAGCCAGTGGAGACACTCCCATAACGCGAATCCGAGGTCACCCTGCTTGCCGCCATCGCCCCGAGGATTCGCCCAGATCATCTTGAGGCGGGTCTCGATGGGGGCACGCTTAAAGATGGGGACGCTTGGGTCGAAATTGAGGGTGTCGAAGAGACACAACTGGAGGGGATAGAGCCACCGGAGTTGCTGATAAGGGTGATCCGGAGTTGTGTAGTCGAAGAGCGCTTGGAGACCTTCCAACGTTGTACGAATGACGACTTCGCCGGCTGGTTCAGGAAGCGTCATGTTCCGAAGACGCTAAAAAACGTTCTTTGCCCCCGCATCGGTGATTTCCATGTCCAGATACGGGAGAGCCCACAGTGACGAGGTGGACGAAGCCGGCACGGTAAATACGAGCTCCGGGCAACACGCGGTGAGGCAACGGCTCAACCGACGGTGGGCCGCCACGACGCGGCACCTAAGTGTAGGTGACCGTAATCTAGCGCCCGGGCCCAGCATCGAGCGTTAGAGAAAATGGGCGAGGAGACGCCTGAGCAGCAGGAGAAGATGGTGGCGCTTGTGAACCTCGCGATGACGGAGGAGGCGGACCACCAACTGTGATCGGAGAAGTGACCATCGGCGAAGGATTTGGCCGAGGAGGAGTCAGAGACCGAGCAGGGCCAAGACAGCTCCAGCTGCCGTCGGAATCTTCAACATCTTCGTCATCAGCTGTGCTTGAATGTTCGGTAGGCGGCGGAACATCACCGCCACCACTTGTACCATCAGGTGAATCATCCACCGAAAGTTCATCGTCATCCACGTTATCTCCACGATCGTCATCCACGTTATCTCCACGATCGTCATCAACATTTCCATCGTCATCAACTTCCATCGAAAAATCGGTCGAAGAAGCACTTGGCGCGGCAGCTGTTGGAACCGTCGGGGCCGGCTTTGAAGACACGGAGGCTTGTGGAGCAGCTTCATTAGGGGTAAGCCCTGCCGTAGAAACTACTCCCGAGACTTCAACCGTCTTAGAAGTCACAGCAGACGACGAAGCAACCTTGCCGGATGAGACGGTGTTATCCGACTCATCATCTTCGTCATCCGAACCGAACATGAGTCGAAAATCCTCGGCCTCACGCAAGGCCTCTTCGACAGCGCGTATGTCCGCTGGGGAAGGAGAGATCGTCGAAGCTGGTGGCTTGGCCACGTCGGGAGGACCCTGAGGCGGAGGCGAAGGCGTCAGGAAGACCGGAAACATCGTCGTGATCCCCTGAGCCCACATCTTTAGCCGAAGACACGATGGTAGTACCTTGAGCCGACGGGACCTCGCTTGAACCAACGTCAATCATTTCCACTTCACTCTGGTCACCGCTGCGGTCTACAACGACGTCGGAGAATGCGATTCGATAGAGGATGACGCTGGCTTGCGAGGTGGCGACCATGAACGAGGGGACGACGGCACAGACTGTGACCGATACTTCGAATGACGCCGAGACGACTTGCCAGGAGAACGAAGGCGAGTATTCCGGCGTTTCTTCTAAGCCGCTTGCATCCATGCCTTCGGGCGAAACAGCGAACGACGTGCAGACTTGGGGGTTGAAGGGTCGGCAGGTGGCGCATCACCGATACATGCTGTACAGCGGCGAGTACCTCGTTGAAGCCCATTGCAGTCTCGAGACGACGTTGAGTGCAAACATCGCCGTGAAGAGGAGGCTCAACGTTGAGCTGCACTTGATGGCGAGCCATCGCGGTCAAGTACGAAATAATCGACGTCATCATGTGATCGACGGATGCGTCCGTACTCTCAGCCAGCATGGCGCGCAACGAATCCTCGGTGAGGGGTGGAGGACCACCAGCAGACACAGACGGATCAGCAGGAGCCATCTCCGTGGATTCAGCTACGACAAGAAGTCCCGCTGATGACGCTGCAGTTGAAACGAGTGGGGCAGGCTGAGGGCTGTTCGAACCTCGGTGTCGCCCCCTGTAAAAAAAAGACTAAGGATACATGGTGATGAGCAAGGTACCAAAGTTTCAAGAGGAAGATGAGCTGACTTACCTCCCACTGTTCATGATCATGTCGTCGGCGAGGTTGAAGACGCTGGAGGGCGTGATTATCGGCCCGATTAAGGCGCTTGGCCATCCAGTGACTGGATGGTGAATTGGAGAATGAAGAAATGTCACAACGGGCACCAGCACCGTGGCTTCCATTGCGACAGGGGCAGTTGTGGCGTAGTCATTTCTCCAATGTTGCGGATAATCGCCCGTCGACACAGATGCGACACCGCTCAAGTTGTTCAAGCGACGAACCCTCGGTCTCGTGATGTAACGTGATTTTAAGGTGCAAGAGACTCGACAGCGTCACTTCCAAACACTCAGCGACTATTGGATACGGCCCAGATGTCACTTAATCCAGGCTGTCCTTATTATTAATATTGGACTGGTCGTTCGCATTCTGCGGCCAAGAACTGACCATCTACGGTACGAACCCTCGGTGGCGGTTGGGATGAGTTCGCGGAAGACTCAGCGACCCTTGGAAGACACGTTCACCGTCTGGGACAAGGCGCGAGCCGTTAAAAGATACTCATGCGACGGTGCAGACGACGCTTGGCGTGCAAGAAGATCCATAACGGACCATTGTTCACTTGATATTTGTATACTTAATTAGGACTTCTTATTAGGAATATACCCGAAAGGGTAAACATAAAAACAGAACAGAATTTCCACTCAAGCACACAGAGCGACGTCTGGCTTCAAGGTAAGCGTCTGGCCAAGCTTGTTTGAGTGTGTTATGCCTGTCGGTGAACTCGAAGCTCTGTAGCGAGGGTTCATCCGGCAAGGCCAAGAGACTGTGTGTATTGGCCGATTACTATCGGGAGCTTTTACGTGACGGCTTATTGTTGCCTATTTGCACGACTGGGAGTGCTTGTATCGCATCCCTTTTATTCTTTCAACCGAGTGTTGAACACTCGGTGACCTCGTAAAGGGCTTACCCGTGCTTGGTACCCTTCTGCTGTTGGGACCACGAGGCTTCATAACACCTATTAGCTTTGCTCGTGCTAGTAGCGTGTTCTTATTTTTACTGGTTGGCCTATATAAGTAGCTTACAAGGTCCAGTTTGTCCCGGTGCAAGGGCGGAACTGGGGTCTTCAGGATCGCCCGAACGATCGTTTACTATCCTAGTAGACGTATTGTTGTGGGAACGTCCTAACTACATTTGTAGCTAGAGTTCACGTGGGATTTCCAACACCACAGTCTGTATTGATGCGACTCATGGCATGAACATCAACAGGTGATCTGAATGATGTAATTGATTTTGTTGGTGACATTGTTGCTATGGTTGGTATAGTTGAGTCATAATTGGGTAAACAATTGCGCTACCAATTACAATACCAATTACTTACCAATTATGCTTAGCTTATATTATCATATCTTTCTAACCATTCTCAACACTTCCTTTCTAAGTATTTGCTTTTTAGCTTCATGGGGACGGAAAAATTCAGGTGTGGAGCGTTTGCTTAGCATTCACTGACTGATGGTGAAACCGAACAAAACATGAAAAACGCAATTTCGGCGTTCCAGATCAACAACGAATGCTGGAAAGAAATTGAAGTCATAGTATCTCGGCCGTGTTGTAGCAGGCCTACCGCTTAACAGCAGTAAATTTTCCTCGTTACCGCCTCATTTCGTCGACCCCAGTTACAGCCAGGTTGATGAGTGTGTTCGACGAATGTTCTCTTCTCTTGCTGCTGACGGGAAACTAGGACAAGCTCTGCAGTTGTGTGTCGCTGCACTAGTGAACCACGCGGATTTTCTTCGACAGCAACTACCTTCTAACCACGCGCTGCTCTCAACATTTTTATTCAGAGACGACTCCGTAATGACTAGCCTGAAGCAGCAGGTTATAACGTCCAATTCGCCTTGGATGCAATCCACTGGTATCCCACCTCATATTGGGATTTACAAACAATTGGAGGACCTACGCGAGTCAATTAAACAATTACCGGAAACTTTGCTCAGTGGAGTTGAAATTTTGCCCGATGAAAAGGGTGTTGCTGCCGGTAATATCACGCGGGACTTGTTAGCACAAACAATACGCCAGCTACTTGCAGATGCTGGCATAGGTGTGCCATGTTCAGCAACTCAGCCCACAAAGTCTCCTTCAGAAAGCAGTCAAAATGTACACTTCTGGGGCGGCAAGTTCCATTTCCTACCAGCTGACTTTGAGTTTCCCAGCACAGACCCGCTCACGGCGTGGATGTTAAGGTGGTTCGGAAACAAAACGCTAGGATACCCACCGCTTTACCGAATAACAAGCCGTGATCTGTCAAGCCGACAAAAAGCCAACACGCTTTCAGAATGGAAAAATGTTCGTACATCATATCACGGTTGAGATCGAAAAAGCGACTGGGTTTGCAATAACAAAGTTGCACACAGAGACAGAGGCTGAGAAGTTATTCGCACAAGGCATGGACAGACTCAAGTTACTCCCCACCATTCGGGCTCGAAGGAACACGCAGCTTAAGGTGAGTACCCTCACTCGCCTTATACGTGAAGCGATGAAAGCAGACAATCCGAACGCACTGTCAGAACCTTTTCGAAAGCGCAAACGCGCCAAGCGGAGTGACCCGACGGTAGGATAGGATGCGGGGTGCCAAGACATCTTACCTTGCACGTGGGGCAGCAGTTGCAGGCCTTCTAGTGTTTTATGATCAAGTTACCCACCGACGCCACTTATCGCATGTATTTTAACCAATCAACACACATCTCCATATCGTCAGAAAACTGCCTTACGATTTCTCCTCACAATTCATTGATTAATCACACATGCGAGTTTTTTTTTAATGAAAAACCAATCTGGTATTTTTTTTCGGACCAGAGAAGTTGGATTTTGACTGTGCTGTTATCCTAGTGTGGTCGGTTTGTGAAGACGTCACAGCGCGTGCCCCACTTCAACCGCTCGCCATGCGGCTTCCGCTGCCCGCGGATTTCTTCGCACCCGTACGGCTCTCCGCAGCCGAAGCTCACGACCTACAGCGTGTGGAAGCGCGGCTTCTCTCCGCCTATCTGGCTAGTTACGACTCCCAAGAAAACGATGCGCAGCCCAGTTGGAAGCTCGTGGGACAGCGTGTAGGCGTCAAGATCTTTCGCCAGCGACCGACGAAGCAGAAGAAGGTAAAACGGCCGCGAAGGGGCCAGCCGGGCCCCGAGATCGATCCTGAGCTAGCATCCGACTGGAGGAGGCGCCCGTCAGGCACTGAGGAGCGCAAGTTACAGGCGTTGCGTCTCGTTGGTAGCGTGGACGGAACGCTGGAGGACGTTTTATACGGAGCCATGTGGAGGTCCGGTCGGGAGCGCGCAGCTAGAGCGCATTTCACTGGGGACGGAGTAACAGACGGCGCCGTGCTATGCTCTGTGGAGAGCCCGTCGAGTGCGGACCCTTTCCGGTCACTGAGTGTCAGGTTGGCACTGAAACGCGCTCCGCACTGCGGACTGGTGGTCAAAGACAGAGACTTCTGCTACTTGGCAGCGGCAGGGGTGGTGCACTCGCCTAGGACAGGCGTGAAGCTTGGCTATCGACTGCGCCACTCCATCACGTTCCCTTCGTGTCCACCGTTCCAGATTCACTCGGTAGCAAGAGGACAGATCTTCTTGTGCTCGTTCTTCAGACAGCTACGCAATGGTAGAGTGGAGGTGTTTCATGAAGGGAAATACGATGCTGGGGGAGGGAACGGGGCGGTTGGACTGGGACTACCGAAATCTATCGCCGAGAAGAGCATCGTGGAGACGCTGTTGAGTCTGGCAGATGTAGGAGCTTGTGCGCTGGCCAAGAAGCTGGCTCGAGAGGTGGACAACACAGAGGCGGAGCGTGCAGTGGGTTCATTATCATCTGCGTCGGTCCAGGAATCCCTTGACGGCGACAGACGCTGTGGGATGTGTCTGCGTCGTCTTCGTAGCGCCCTTAAGCGGAGGTGTGCAGCTTGTCGTCAATGGACGTGTACTCAGTGCGGTGATCGGCAGGAAGCTATTCCGTCATCCAGAGTTACATGGGCGGGTGAGCCAGTATCAGCACGCTGTTTCTGCAAAGCTTGTGTTGCCAAAGTCTTGCGCGATGATGCCACGAAATACGCGTCACGCGATGCCAATGGCGATGACTGTGAAGTTACCAGCGGACGATGGGGCCACGACGATATTCCTGAAGAGGACGAGGATGATGAGGATGAAGTTCGTATCCCAAATCGACGCCACTCTATGGTGCTGTCCGCAGGGAATACCGGTACGCACTATTCCGAACTCGGCGATCTCTCTCGACAGCATCAGTTGATGACGGCAGCCACTGGAATCCCGAGTAGCACTGAATTCGGGTCTTGCACGTCGGTATCCCGCTTGTTTGCCAAGCAAATATCTGTGGACAGCAACGCCATGAACATCATCAACAGTTCGCTACCTGACAGTCGCCGATGCCGCAGTGCCACGCTGACCGCTGCACCTGCTCCAAATAATGAGCAAGAAAGAGATCGACCCAGACGGCGTCCCAGAGTACATGCGCCTGATATCCTATTGCGAAGCGATGTGGGCAAGCGTAATTGGGCGTCTTCGACGTCCGCTTTGTCTCTGCAATCCCCGCAGCGACATATTGTCGGTTCACCGATTGTTAATCTCAATCGCCGTCGACGGTCCGGGAGTTTATCGCCGTCCGTACGCCGAGTCAGCTTTGGCAGCAATTGCAGCTCCAGCGGAAAGAGCGACGACATCCGTGTGCGTATTGTCACACCCAAGCGAGGTCAACCTGCTGCTGCCTATACTCCATACTTTGCGTCTACGGGAGTCTCGTCGTCGAGACGAGCGTCAGTGGACTCTGGTCCCCCGTCCACAAGGACTGTTCACCGTCGCTTCTTTCGTGACCTGTACGGCAACCAAAATGCAGCACGAAGGAAGAAGCGATTGAGTATAAACTGAAGTAATGTTAAGCTAAGAAGGAAGGAACGCTCAAGTGTGCCCATATTGCGTCGTCGTTCAAATTCCACAACGTTCACCTTATTAACTGAACACTTGCGTTCCTTTAACCGTTTTGTAGTTTTCTTGAGGGCGCCGTTTCTCGATTGGCACGTGCTTGCTTCGGTTCTCAGGAGCAACGCCATCGTTCAGCGATTCGCAGCCTCTGAGAGTGTGACACTGATTCAGACTGCGAATGATACCCGGCACGACGACAATTTCGAACTGCACTGGGTGCAAATGTGCTGCTCTATTCGCGTTTAGCGGCACCTCTGCTGTAGTCGTCACCGTCATTATTATTTATTGTTGGTACAATATAATAATGCCGTCGAATAGAAGCAACTCGGCTCGACAATCAAACGGTCCATAAAAATTTATCTGCGCCAAAACGATGCTGAAACGGTTCAGCATTATGATTGGCTAACACCTTCAACTTGTATCGCCTGTCCGCTCCCAACGCCTGTCGTCGTCGATCGTTGCCTTGCCTCTGGTGAGGTGTTAAAAAATCACAAGGTAAGCTTCGTTCATTTCAAGATTCACTTCATCCCAGAACGATCTCCGTTTCTTCACCTTCGGGTTCTTTCACTCTAATTCCTTCCAACACTATGAAGACCTCGACGTTCCTGCTCCTCACCGTTGCAATTGGCGCCACTGCTGCCCAGAACGGTACCAATTCGTGCGATATGGGCGCCATCGAGGGGAAACTGCTGCTGAACGGCACGACCTGGCATGAGAGCTGCGCGACCGCGACCGGTGTAGACGTGTTCCAGCTCGGCTCGCTCCCCACGAAGGTCGAGGCCAAGACCGTCCAGCAATCGCGCGACTGCGTCAACTACCTCAACCAGCTCAACCAGGAGGCCAACTCGGAGATCCAGTGCGAGACAACGGTGGGCGACCAGACCATCAATTTCGCTTCAATGCTGACGGATCTATTGAAGGGTCAATCCAGCAACAAGACCAAGGTGGCGGCTGTCGGCTCGGACAGCATGTCTGGCAGCGTCTCGTTATCATCCAGTGACTCGGGCAGTGAATCTACATCTGACAGCGAATCCGCCTCGGGCAGCGAGTCCGATGAGAGCAGCTCGGGGTCAGAGGAGGACGGTTCAGCAGATGCCCAGAAGGACGGCAGCGCCTCGAAGAGCAGCACCGGAGTCGCCCTCACGACCACGTTCTCCGTCGTCGCCGCGGCTACCGTGCTCGCATTTGCACTTTAGTCTTGCAGTCAACGTACCTATGTGACTACTGCTGCCAAATAGAATCTTGAGCATTGATGACGATATCCTTTTCACGTTGAGTAGCAATTGGTCGTTGAGGGCGAACGCGCTTACTTTACACTGATTGGCATCATGATAATGAAAAGGTGTAGCCAGTAGTTATTTGCTACAAGTCGAGCGGAGCCCCGCATTTGGGCTCTTTGATCTAGTTTGGGCTGAGCAGGAGTGTGTATTGTGCCATTCTGCCAAAACGCCCTCAGTTTTATGGTCCTACGAAGTAGAAATCCTTCTTCGTACTATTAATAGGATGACCCTTACGAAAGACCTCCTATCTGATCGGGTGCATCCGACTAAAATTTAGCCTACTCCCTTTTACGAAAAAAAAGACGATGCCAATCAAAGACATATGAGGCGTCAATCAAAATGTTACCTATGAACCTAAGTACGAATCGCGATTTAAGCACTCTAAACGAAAGCGGGGCGTCTCCTCTATCTTTTGAGCCCTTATAAGCTGCAGAATGCTTAAAACTGAAGAAGTTGTGGTCGAAATGACGATACATTTAGGAGTGTTGTGAGCTCAATATTTTTTCAATTTTAGAGATTTAAGTGTTTTTTAAAAGCTCTTGTTAAAAGCAATTGAATAAGGGTGGTCTACAGTTTTTTCGATGGAAGTTTACAATAAATGTCACTATTTCGGTTAAGTGCGAAAATCAATTGGCCAACTTTAAGCTCGATTATCTCGATAGCAGGTTCGTAAGTAACATTTTGTTTGACGCAGTCTCATATTTGACCAGACCACGCATATTTTCTCAGGGAGGACCTAAGCCATAGCAATACCATACAACAATTTTGCGACTGCTACATCTTACCCCTAACAAGGGAAGATGTAGCAGTCACAAAGTTGATATTGTACAATACCTTCCATCCTCTGAAGTTTCATCGACAAACACAATTTGATCTGGCCCGCTGTAGAAAGGCAATAGCCTGTTCACATACTCTTGCCTCGCCAGCGTATGTCTGATGAGTAGCCCATATTTGATTTAAAATCAATCTATTGTGGATACCTTACGTAAGGGTAAATGGTCGGCAAATACTGGCCATTCAGCCCTTAATTTGTTAAAAGATACCCTTTAGACCAAATCGGAGCCTCCACAATCAAGTATTATTGGATCATAGTCGGCAAAATCAAACAGTGTTATTGGTCAAATATCATTTTAGTTAGTGGCCTGGCTTAGCAATTCAACTCCCGTGACGGGGTCACACAGCACCTTGTACTAGAGGAAGTTAGCTTCCGAGAGTATACAAACTCTCAGTGAACGGCAGTTCACAGGTCCCCTCTTTATTCAAAAGAGAGCAACGTGACCTAATTAAGGTAGAGTGTAAACTGAGTATATTTATAGGTAGATAAAGCTTGGGCTTAATACAAACTATAAGTCACCTATAGAAATGCAATGTCATCAACCAATATTTGGCTTTGGACGACCTTGGTACTTTGTACCAAATATCCCGAAGTGTGACGTGTCACACTTCATATAACCAGGGTACACTTAGGGCTACGTACCCCGTTACATCCTCCCCCACTTAAGTTCGGTTTACCGACCAATCAAAATGAAAAGGTGTTCGTCACAAACTTTCATTCTCAAAGTCGAAAACCATCGACTTGGCCGCGCGAGCGCGGCGGAGGCTCACTCCACAGTTAGAGCCTCGAGCAGCAGTCTGTGCGATCTTCTTCTAGGTCTCCACTTCGACCGTTTGCTATGCCTCGTGGCACTGCAAAGAGCGGTGTGAAGACACGCTCCAAGGCTGCTGCCGGGAAGGCGCCAGCCAAGAGCACTACAGTCTCACGGCAAAGGCTCGGCACTTAAGGAGGCTACTCAGGTGGCCTCCGAGGCGATCGGTTCCTCGGGTGACGCGGCTGTGGGCAAGCGAGCAAGCAAGCGCCGCAGCCCGTCGCCCTCGGCCTCTCCAGACAATCGTCCGAACCCTCGGTTCGTAGAACGTGACTTCGACTCTGGCAGTGAGGACGAAGCCGAGTCCGAGAGCGCACACGATGCTCCTGCGGGGTCTGTGGGAGGGCACAGCCCAGTGCCCAGCGAGCACAAGGATGACAGCGTGCAGTCGCTCGCTAGTGATCAAGGTGATCACAGTCCCAGGACGTCTGTGCGCTCTGAGAGTCCCGCTGTTAAGGCTAAGGGCACTCTCAAAGCTAGTGGTGATGGAAGAGAATCCTCGCAAACGTCTCTCGCTTGCCGAGGGTCTTGCGCGTGCTAAGGCCTCTAAAGCCGAAGGCGCCAAGCCCTCAAAGAAGCGTACAGCCTCTAAGTCTTTACTCCGCGAGGAGAAGGAGACTCGGCACTCACATCGGGGCATTTCGACTCCTCGGATGAAGAGGAGGAGAAGGAGAAAGAAGAAGAGGAGGAGGAGGGTGCTATATCTGAGCCCCGGGAGGTCACGAATGACCTCGACCAGCAGCAGGAGGATTTCCAAGCTGCCCAGCGTGCGGGTCCGGTGGTGGCACCCGTCGGCCAGGGAGCTGTCATCAACTCGCGAGGGTATTGGCCTCCCGAGGAGAACTCTGGGGCTGACCTCTTCCTAGAGCTTCTCGTCGCTTTTCGTGGTTATGTGGGCGGCCACACTTCTAGGTGCATTTACGAGCGTGCCCTTGTTCAGAAGGAACAGTTGTTCGTTGACATCCTGGAGGCAGCTCGGTGTGTGCTTCTCGCGCCACACCGCATCCCCCTTAAGGACTTCACGACTTGTCGTAAGAAGCCCGAGACCCGGGGTGGTCTCTATCTTCTTTGGGGATACCCCTGTGTGGTGTAGTGATTTCTCCGTAGTTGCGGATTATCACTCGTCGACAAAGACGTGACACCGCCCAAGATGTTCAAGCAACGAACCCTCGGTCATGTGATGTACGGAGACGCCAAGGTGCAAGAGATCACTCCCGAGCTTTCAACAAGTATCGGATATGGCCATATGTCACTGAATCCAGGCTGTCCTTATTATTAATAATGGACTGGTCGGATTCGCATTCAGCGGCCAAGAACTGACCATCTACGGTACGAATCCTCGGTGGCGGTTGGGATGAGTTCGCGGAAGACTCAGCGACCCTTGGAAGACACGTTCACCGTCTGGGACAGGGCGCGAGCCGTTAAAAGATACTCATGCGACGGTGCAGACGACGCTTGGCGTGCAAGAAGATCCATAACGGATCATTGTTCACTTGATATTTGTATACTTGATTAGGACTTCTTATTAGGAATAGACCCGAAAGAGTAAGCTTAAATACAGAACAGAATTTCCACTCAAGCACACAGAGCGACGTCCGGCTTCAAGGTAAGCGTCAGGTCAAGCTTGTTTGAGTGTGTTATGCCTGTCGGTGAGCTCGAAGCTCTGTAGCGAGGGCTCATCCGGCAAGGCCAAGAGACTGTGTGTGTATTGGCCGATTACTATCGGGAGGTTTTACGTGACGGCATATTGTTGCCTACTTGCACGACTAGGAGTGCTTGAATTGCATCCCTTTTATTCTTCCAACAGAGCGTTGAATGCTCGGTGACCTCGTACAAGGCTTTCCCGTGCCTGATACCCTTCCGCTGTTGGGACGACGAGGGTTCATAACACCTATTAGCTTTGCTCGTGCTAGTAGCGTGTTCTTATTTTTTCTGGTTGGCCTATATAAGTAGTTTACAAGGTCCAGTTTGTCCCGGTGCAAGGGCAGAACTGGGGTCTTCAGGTCCGCCCGAACGATCGTTTACTATCCTAGTAGACGTATTGTTGTGGGAACGTCCTAACTACATTTGTAGCTAGAGGTCACGTGGGAATTCCAACACCACAACTGGTGCCGCGACCCGGGAACAGATTGTGACCATTGTGAACTGTTTGTATGGCCTTCCAGTTTACGAGCTACCAAGAGAAGAAGAACACGAAAAAGACAAGAAACATGGCGAAAGGATAACCGACGGTACCAGTTACGCCTACCAAGTCTGGCGGGGCTCGCAACGAGGGTTCAAGCCCGGCTGCGCGCTTTGCAGCCGCCACCGAGCTTTCAGTGAGCTTCGACGACGAAGCGGACATCGGTCCTGACGCCCACGATTCTGAAGATTACGAAGACAAGACGCCGGCTCCAGAGCCAGGCGCAGCGAAGCCGGAGACGGCCACGCTATCATCGGGGCTGTGCGGGGCGACCAGGTCTCTTTCGAGGAACCTCGCCGACGAGCTCGATGATGTTGCGGGATCGGAACCCGCCTACGAAGATTATGACGATGGGACCGAGGGTTCTAAACCTTCGGTGGCGAGTGCAAAGCATTCAGCACTGCTGAAGGCACCTCGCCCACCTATCAACGGTGATACACCAGCCGCCAAGCGCGTTTTCGACCGCGTACAAGCGCTGATGCAGAATGATGAGTGGATGCAGCTGTTCAAGCCCATCCCCAAGAAAAAAGCCGACTGGCCTGCGCTTGCGCAGGAACTTCAATACCCAGTCAACTCGGTTTCGACTAGCCAAGTCGCCGAGGATTCAGTTTCGCTACTGTTGTCGCTGGGGTTCGAGAACGAGACGTACCCATCGACGATGTCGCTCCAGGATTGGAGTCCACATGAAGCCGGAGCTGCTCTCCAGAAATGGACGAAGAAGCTTCGGAAGGCGTTTGGCGCTGTTGGCATCAATGCCGGAAAGCAGCCTGAGAGTCGACCGATGATTCAAGATGAAGATCCGTCCAAGATTCCACTGCCGCCGACGCCCCAACGACTCGTTCGTACTCCTCCGACCAAGCGTGGAGCTGAGCGTGGTGCCTTTGGCACTACCGAAGCTTCACCGTACTTTCAAGACTCGCACATGGTTACGCCACGTTCGGAGAGCCGTATGCAACGTATTTACGCAAGTAACGAGGGTTCGTTCGGTCGCCGAGGCGGTGCGCGAGCTCCCAAAGGTGGTACCGGACGTCGTCAAGTCGACAGCGATGGTTCGTCCAGTGACGATGATATTTTGGTGCGTACATTCG